GTCCGCCGTACAAACAATCTTTGGGTGAGTTTGGGATATTTTTTCATTGTGCTTTTTAATTATACAGTATTTTATAAAAATATTAATTTATAATATCATTGTGCTTTTTAATTATACAGTATTTTATAAAAATATTAATTTATAATAATTAAATTAATTTTAATTAATATTAATTTAATAATCATATTAGTATATAAAATTTTTTAAAATAATAAATAAATAATAATATAATTTTTTATAATAAAATATTTAAAAAATACAATTACAATACTTCATATCAATTCCAAACACATGTTTAAAAAATTTGAAAAACTTTTGTGGTGGGCACATGTGTGCATGTTGATTCTTTCTGTGCATGTCGTTTCGAAATTTCTGTGCAGTTTACAGAAATTGAAGAAACTAATTAATGGACTGTTTAAATTTTTTTTTTTGGTGAATTTTTTTATATGGACGGTTGTGGGGAATAGTTTGTGAATTAAAGTATAGGGATGAATTTCAAACAGCCGCCTGCGATGAATTGAATCTTTAGGCTTTCTTTAATAATCACAGAAGTTTGGTGTCCCCTTTTTTCTTTTCTTTATTTGGCAGTAAAGGTTAGAACAGCTTTCATGCAATCCGTGTTTTGTTGAAGATTTGACGGGAGAAAGGCAGCTGTCAAACACAATTTCAAGGCTCCACCACATTGACTATGTATATGATGACTCAGGACAGGGAGACATTAGCTAGGCAAGTTGTGGGCATCCTGCAGGATCTTTTGCCTGCTCAAACGGAAGGAACGAAAGAGAAAGGGTAGAATTTCTAGGTTCACACACAACATTCTCATCCAAACCAAAGAAATGAGAACCTTATGGGAGCAAAGTGGATTTGGACTGCTTGCTTCAAGTGATGCTTGCAAAGCATTGATAATTTGCTATAATGGTAATTGGTAAAGATTCATTGACATCTCGAGGGGTTTTAGAATAAATTTCAAAGTTTCTAAAATGAATATATCTCCAAAAAAAAAAAAAAAAAATTGCCTTTGAGCTAGTAGCTTCATATTTCAATAGGTAAAGGGCAAGTTTTATAGATGACTTTGAATTTCCTCACTCCAATATAAAATAAATAAAATAAAACTGATATTATTTGTATCATAAAGTTTTGGGCAGAATTTAAAAGCCGTAAAGCAAGCCCAAATTGAGCGGGTTATTTAAAACAAAATTAACCAAGGCCATGAGCCCACCTTAGATGAGCCCTAATTACAACTGGGGCCTTGGCCCTGAGTCTGGTTTGGACCTGAACTTTAACAATTGCCGGCTGCCGATATGTATTCACAATTTTACACTACTAATATATAAGTTTGGTTTGAGAAAATGGAAGGAAAGAGAAAGGGTAAAACTTCCTCAATTTGACTAGTAAAAAATTTGAAGGGGAGTGGAGTGGAGTCTGTTATTTTATTTTTTTTCTTTAATTCCTTCATTTATTCAAAGGAAGAAATGGGAGAGGAGGCAAATGGAGAAAACTAGAAGGATGTCATATTCTTTCATTTTCCTACCCTTTGTTCAATTTTATTAAAACCAAATATATTGTACTAGTTTACCTTTAATTATTTGGGAAGAGAAAGCTATCTAGACTCTGAATTGCAAAACAATGACTATTAATGAAGGAAAACCACACACATTAAGGATGGTAAAACAGTGAC